TGCATAGTGGTCATATCACAGATATCAGTTTTCAGTATAGCAGAGTCACAAATTCAACTACCAATGGAGGACCCATTGCATAGCATCAAGGCATCTATAACAGTCTTAATATAACAAAATTAGAGTAACCACTACCAATAGAGGACCCATTGTGTAGCGGTCATGGCACATATAACAATCTTAATATAACAGAATCAGAGTAGCCTCTACCAATGGAGGACCCCTTGCGTAGTGGCACATATAACAGTCTTAATATAACAAAATTAGAGTAGCCACTACTAATGGAGGACCCATTGCATAGCGGTCATGGCACATATAACAGTTTTTTATAACAAAATCACATATATTAATTAGTGCCCCTGTATCATAGTATCATATTTTCAGTATCGCAGTATCATATTTTCAGCATCACAGTGTCATATTTTCAGCAACACAGTGTCATATTTTCAATATCACAGTCTCGTATTTTTCTACAATTTCAGATAGTGACATCCAGTCCAAAACAGGGTCATCATATTCGATCCATTCAGAATTAGAAAACGATTCCAACACAATTTTACACTAGACACGCATATCTTTCAAATGGGGGTAGTTTGGACAGTGAGATGTCCTACTTAGAACCATTATAACTTTCAGTCCAAAAAATATATTAGAGTGCTTCCAAAACCAAAATTCGAGTAAAACATGTATCTTTAAAATAAGGGCAGTTTGAGAACATTTGGAATTCATTTGGTCATTCAAAATTTGTGACAACAGAGACATCAGTTCTGCACTTTTATTAAGTTCACCAACAGTAACCTACTTGTACATTTTGAATCATAACTTTTCATGCATAAATAATTTGAGAAAGATTCAACATGAACATTTTAATAGACACAGATATCTCTTCAATGGCAGAGGTTTGAGGTTAATTGGACCTCATTTGATAGGTTAAACATGTAACAAAAAAAATATAGAACCTTCTTGAAAATTACAGCACAGTCACATCATCACTCAACATGAAAATTAATTAGCCTCTAATTATGCTAATTCTTAACATAAACCTTTCTCATTTTCCATTAGATACACAAAAACACTTAATCACAAACTTTTCATAAAAAACAAGGAAGATTTGATACTCATTTTGGTCATGCAAAGGCAAGCTAAATTGCTGGAATTTACAGTACAACAGTATACATATGCATCCATTAATCATGCCAATACTTATGCAAATTATCATGCTTGATTCATGTCTAATCCATGCTTAAGGACCTACAAGGTAGATGATCCACTTACCTTAGGTGCACTGTGTCTCCAAATCTTCTCCCACAATCTCCTCCTTCAAGCTTCTAACAAGGCTCTTCAATGGTGAACAATAGCTAACAAAAGGGCCTCCAAGTTGAAAGGCTTTAGAGAGAGAGAGGGGATGAAGTGAATGGCGTGTGGGAGAGGGAGAGGCTTAAGTACTCCCTTGGTGGGGAGGTGGCCGTCCAAGTGGTGACAGGTGGCAAAAACCACACATGCAACTGGACAACTGGCATGTGTGGCTGCATGCACTCAGCAGGTGGCATTCACGGTCCATGCACGGTAGTGTTACACATGGCACTTCCATTCACAGCGGTACCTCAAACGACATTGCCCCTCTCATTAGAGAAGAATCATCTTTTCTTTCTAACTTTTTAGGATTTTCATGAGCTGGGGGTCTATCTTTTGTGCCACCTGGATCTGTTGAAAATGCTAAGGTTCCACCCTTATACCAGCAGTTATTCCTACCCCACCACTAGGGGGTAGTGTTGGGTGCCATTCCACTGCATCTTCTATCAATTTCATCTCTCGGACCATCATGTGAGCCACTGACACCACGGGCTTCCTACTCACGGCATCTGCCACAACGTTTGTCTTACTCGGGTGATAGTTAATGGTGCAGTCATAATCATTCAGTAGGTCCATCCATCTTCTTTGCCTCATATTCATCTCCTTTTGAGAAAATAAATACTTGAGGCTCTTATGATCCGTGGATATCTTAAATTGGGCCCCATAGAGGTAATGTCTCCAGAATTTCAAGGCAAATACTGTAGCCACAAGTTCCAAATCGTGGGTTGGGTAATTCTGCTCATGCGACTTTAACTGTCTCGAGGCATAAGCTATGACCTTCCCTTGCTTCATTAACACACACCCAAGTCCCTTATGAGAAGCGTCGGTGTAGACCACAAAGCTTCATTTCCTTTAGGTAAGGTTAATATTAGGGCGGTAGTTAATCCCTTCTTTAATTCTTGAAAACTCTTCTCACAGTCATCCAATCATACAAATTTCACCTCCTTCTGAATCAGGCGAGTCAGGGGGAGTGCTATCTTTGAAAAACCTTTTACAAAACACCTATAGTATCCAACCAGTCCCAGAAAACTACGGACTTCCATCACATTTATTAGTTTTTCCCACTTAAGTATGGCTTCAATTTTGCAAGGGTCAATTGCGACCCCATCCTTAGAAATAACGTATCCATGGAAGGCCACGCTTGGAAGCAAAAACTCGCTATTCCCCAGGTTAACATATAACTTCTCTGTCTTTAAGGTCTGGAGGACCATTCTTAAATGTCGTTCATGTTCTTCTAGATTCCTTGAGTATACCAGAATATCATCTACAAAGACCACTACAAAATCATCCAGAAAGGGTTTAAAAACTCTATTCATCAGATCCATAAAGACAACTGGGGAATTTGTTAACCCAGACGACAGTACTAATAACTCATAGTGGCCATATCGAGTTCTGAAGGCGGTCTTGGGGATTCTTCTTCCTTAACTAGCATCTGATGATAACCTGACAGAAGGTCAATTTTTTAAAACACTTGGGCCCCTTGGAGTTGGTCAAAAAGTCATCAATTCTTGGAAAGGGGTACTTATTCTTTACAGTGACCTAGTGCAGTTGCCGATAGTCTATACAAAGCCTCAAAGAATCATCTTTCTTTTTAACAAATAAGACAGGTGCACCCCAAGGCGAAACACTAGGTCTAATTAATCCTTTCTCCAACATTTATTGCAATTCTTCCTTCAATTCCTTTAGTTCCACTAGGGCCATCCTATAATGGGCTTTAGATATGGGGGCAGTGTCAAGGACCACATTTATCTCAAATTCTATTTACCTGACTGGAAGTAGAGAGGTTAACTAATCAGAAAAAACGTTTGATATTCCCTCACCACCGGTATTTCTTCTAACTTGAACCGGACGTCCTGATTTTCTACTACAGAAGCTAAATACCCAACACATCTTTTGGCTAGCAACAGGGAAGCTCGAAGAGCCGAGATGAAGTGCATAAGAGAAACATCCTTGAGGCCAACAAGGTTCAACTCAGGCTGGTTTGGTCATCTAAGGGTTACAGTCTTAGCATGACAATTTACTGTACAATGGTGTGTGGACAACTAGTCCATGCCCAAAGTAACATCAAAGTCTTAGATGTCTAATAGTATCAAATCTATAGGTAGCACACACTCTTCAAGTAAAACCCCACAGTGTTTGTAAATAATATCAATTTCTATAGATTCCCCAATAAGTGTGGATACTACCAATGTCCAGTCAAGAAGCGAAGGTCTAGTATTTACGTGGCATGCAAAATGAGGAGCAACAAAAGAGTGTGTAGATCCAGGATCGACCATAATTTTAGCTTTTATGCCACAAACGAAGAGCGTACCTCAGATTATAGAGGCAGATGCCTTGGCTTCTTGTTCTGTGAGGGAAAATACCCAACCTTGAGTCTTCGTTTGGTTTCTAGGTCCCTTGGAAATCTCTAATCTGGTGGCCAGGTTTGCCACATTTGAAGCACGCCCTTGTCGTTCTTCGGCACTCATCCGCTGAATGATTATCCTTCCCACAATGTGGGAACATCGGGCGCATGTTCTCCCTCCCTTACGTCGCCCGGCAAGGTCCTCTGAATCTTCTTACCCCTCTGGTTATCTCTTAGTGGTTGTCGAGCCTTTCTCCCCAAGTTTCCAAACTGGGATGGTCCCATCTTCCAGTTTCCCCCAACGCGAGACTCTTCACAGTCCCTCTCAATCTTCAAGGCCAAATCTACCAAAAGGGAGAAGGTTTTGAGATTTGCAGATATCACCCTCCCCCTTATTTATGGTCTGAGGCCTCTCTCAGTATTAATGATGTGTGGTGCATACCTTGACAGCTCAGAAAACTTAGTTGCATATTGTTCCACCGATAAATTTCCTTGTTGTAGCTCAATGAACTCTACTTCTTTTCTTTCTCGTATAGAGTCAGGGAAATGCTTCTCATTGAATGCTTCTAGAAAATTTTCCCAACTCACTTCTGTCCCTGATTCTTCCCATGATTGCTTCACTGAGCCCCACCAGTGCTCAACATCTCCTTCTAAAATGGAGGTTCCCAGCCTGACTTTCTATTCACCTGTACAATCCAACACCTCAAATATCTTTTCTACTTTCCTTCTCCAATGTTCTACTTTCTATACTCCCCCGAGCCCCAAGAAAGTTGGAGGAGACACCCTTCTAAACTTCTCTATTAGACTATTGTCATTCAGGTAAGGGGAGGGGGTAGACGGGACCGACATTGCTTCTTTCAACATCTGTGTCATGGTCGCTAAGGTTCTGCCAAACTCACCGAGGGCCTCGGTGTTTTCATTACTGGAGCTTGCATAATTGGCTCATGTCCTCGGCATCTTCAACTTAAGACACAAGCACTCAGTTACTAGTCTACCCAAAACTATTCTAAGGATACTTCTAAAACTTCCTAAGCTAATAATCCTAACCTGGCTTCTCTAATACTATAATTTTTATGACCCTACCCCTGACCCCTACCATACCCTACCGGAGGACGACAGAGTGCGGGATCACGACTTGAGGTCACGAACATCACTCAGGCAGGAGTGGGTCAACGCATGTTAGAAATGCGGAATCAAAGCAAACCACGAAAATTAAATAAACCTCATACATCAAGCACTATAAACTGAATAAATTAAAACCATTAAAATTTCATTCAACTCCAAGATTCTTTACAATATAGTTCAAGGCTTACAAGCCTGACTTTATAGTACATCACACCAAAACAACACAGTGGCCTCACCACTAGACACCTACTATGCAAAAAGGGATCCTTGACAGGTCTGAAGCGTCAAATGTCTGTCGCCACCACTCTGCTGCTCGACTCCCATAGTCAAGTGCTATCACTCTACACAGATGAAAGTAAGCGAAGTGAGTTATAAGCCTAGTAAGTAGATCAATACCCTTATATTCCCGTCTACATGCAGATACATAATAACATAGCCTATGGTTCATCAGAGATCGTACTGGTATCACAGAGTGGAGTCGTGCATTAGAAACAGTAGCAGTATAAAGAGAGCAAGGTTCAAATACCAGAGCATCAAATATTTCCTAAGATAGCAATTACTTCGTTACTTATCATAGTTCTAGTTAGACACTCATACAGAATATATAATTCAGATAGGCAGAAAATAGAATTATTACTCCAAAGTAGAAGCCACATCAATCAGGCTAAGCCAATCCTGTAACTTGGGACTTCTACCTCATTCAGAAGGGAGAACAATGACAAATGGAGGTCCAATTTCGTAATGTCCTCACTCACGCACACAATCCGCAGTGCAATTTGGGGTTTTCGATAGGCTGTGGCCTTGCAAGACACAACCCTCTCCTTATGCCTTCAGGCGAGTGGGCATTACATTACCATTGGAAGGCACAATGCGTAGTACCCATGACAATTTGGGGGGTAAGACTCTCTCTATTATTCACAGCCACTTATCGACTCCAGTCCTATCATAGGAGTCGAGGTATAGTATACCCAACGACCAATGGGGGAGCCATTGCGTAGTGGTCATATCATAGATATAATTTTTCAGTATAACAAAATTACAAATCCAACTACCAATGGAGGACCTATTGTGTAGCAGTCAGGGCACATATAACAGTCTTAATATAACAAAATCAGAGTAGCCACTATCAATGGAGGACCCATTGCGTAGCGATCATGGCACATATAACAATTTTAATATAACAGAATCAAAGTAGCCACTATCAATGGAGAACCCATTACATAGCGATCATGGCACATATAACAATCTTAATATAACAGAATTAGAGTAGCCACTACCAATGGAGGACCCATTGCGCACCGGTCATAGCACATATAACAGTCTTAATATAACAAAGTCAAGAGTGGCCACTACCAGTGGAGGACTCATTGCGTAGCGGTCATGACACATATAACAGTTCATTATAACATAATCACATATATTATCAGTGACCCCGTATCATAGTATCATATTTTCAGTATCGCAATATTATATTTTTAGTGTCATAGTGTCATCTTTTCAGTATCACAGTGTCATAGTTTCAGAATCACAGTGTCATATTTTCAATATCACAGTCTCATATTTTTCTGCAATTTCAAACAGTGACGTCCAGTAATAAATAGAGTCATAATATTCGATCCACTTTGAATTCGAAACAATTCCAAAACCAATTTTACATTAGACATGCATATCTTTCAAACGTTTGGACCACGTTGGCCCCTTCAGAAGCTCATTACAAAGGAGGCATCCCATCTGAAACCTGCTGCGCAGTTGGGATATTGACATGTCCCACATAGTACCATTATAACTTTCAATCCATAAAACATTTTAAAGTTCCTACAATACTAAAATTCGAGCAAAAACATGTATCTTTAAACAAAGGGCAGTTTGAGAACATTTGGACTCCATTTGGTCATTCAAAATTCGTGACAACAGAGACATCAGTTTTGCACTTTTAATAAATTTATCAACAGTGACCTACTTGCACATTTTGAAGCATAACTCTTCATGCATAAAGAATTTGAGCAAGATTCAAACATGAAAATTTTAGTAGACACGGATATCTTTCCAATGGAAGAGGCTTGAGGTCAATTGGACCTCATTTGATAGGTCCAAAGTATATTACAAAAACATCAAACCTTTGTGAAAATTACAGCACAGTCAAAACATCACTCCACATGACAATCAATTGGCCTCTAATTATGCTAATTCTTAACATAAACCTTTCTCATTTTCTATTAGATACACAAAAATACATAATCACAGACTTTCCATGAAAAACAAGGAAGATTTGATACCTCATTTTGGTCATGCAAAGGCATGCTAAATTGCTGGAATTTACAGTACAACAGTATACATATGCATCCATTAATCATGCCAATACTTATGCAAATTATCATGCTTGATTCATGTCTAATCCATGCTTAAGGACCTACAAGGTAGATGATCCACTTACCTTAGGTGCACTGTGTCTCCAAATCTTCTCCCACAGTCTCCTCCTTCAAGCTTCTAACAAGGCTCTTCAATGGTGAACAATAGCTAACAAAAGGGCCTCCAAGTTGAAAGGCTTTAGAGAGAGAGAGGGGATGAAGTGAATGGCGTGTGGGAGAGGGAGAGGCTTCAGTACTCCCTTGGTGGGGATGTGGCCGTCCAAGTGGTGACAGGTGGCAAAAACCACACATGCAACTGGACAACTGGCATGTGTGGCTGCATGCACTCTGCAAGTGACATGCACGACAGTGTTACACATGATGCTGCCATGCACAGTGGTGCCTCAAATGGTATTGCCCCTCTCCCTGTTCACGTGCGGTGTTCCTCCCTTCACGCATGCGACGTTGCCTCTCTCTCTTCTCCAAACGATGTTGCCCCCTTCCTCTGTTCACATGCAGTATTCCTCCTTTCACGTGCACGGCGTTGCCTCTCTCTCTTCTTCAAACAGTGTTGCTCCCTTCCTCTGTCTTCACTGCCACGTGCTTCATCTACACAATCAGACCCTTCTACCGGGCGTGTTACTATGGCCGGGAAAACTTGGTCCTTACAGGCTTACAAAGCTTACTCGCGAGCTTGAGTGGCCTCTAAGCGTTACCTTTGTATTTGACAGTGCTCGATTTCACATCCAAGTGACGGAGGATGGAGAGTCAATAATTTAAGAGGACGACATTCCCATGTTCCACTTTTCACACCGTGACTTGGCTTCTAGTTTGGATCCTCCCACCCTTGGGAAAAGGATGGCCAACACAAAGGGGTTAATGTGGTCTCCTGAAGGGCTTCATTTGAAGGGTGAACACCAATTCTTGAAAGGCTATAATGCATGTACCCTCGAGGTGCTCCATATTTATGAGAATGAGCTCAAGTTTGTCGCCTTGCTGACGGCTGTGCAGTGTTATGTAGGGTACTACGACCGTTGCCCGAACACAATTCAGCCTATTTTGGAAACATGTTGTCATGTGAGCAACACCTGGCTTTTCAATTATGGGGAAGGCAAGTTTTCTTTGCTCGACCTCCACTTCCCTGGGTGTTATGTATGACGAGTTCGTTCCACATATCACTGGGGGTCGAGGAACCTCCTCCTGGATGTTGAAAGATCTTTGAGATCTATTAACTGCTTTACTCAAAGGCCAGTGATGGCCAAGTGAGCTTCTCATGCTGGATATTGTTATGTCCTTGGTGATAAGGGCAAGGAGAGGGCGGCAGCTATTTCTACTACTTTCATGCACCAGTTTGAAAAGGACCATGTTTACCTGGTAGCCTATCTCACCTTCTTCTTATGCAAGTTTTCCCTTCCTAGGTCCGAAGGTGATTTCATCCGTCCTGACTACTTTTTTGCAAACTGCAACATGGCACGAGGGCGTCAGTATGGTTTGGCACAACCTATATTGTGCGTCATTTATCACGGTTTGGGATCCATTTCACGGGGGAAGACGTATAAAGGGGAAGAAGGACTGGGGATAGTCGGAGGAGAGGCCTTCTCAGGGAATTTCAAGACTACATTCCAGACCCAGTACATATTCAATTGGCTATCTGCTTACTTCCCGGACACTTATGTGGTGAGCACCGACTTGTCCGAGACTTTGGGCCCTCAACTTGTGAGGATTGATGGCCAGAAGGCCAAGCTTCATACCTCCGGTCATGCGCAAAATCTCTTTGGAGGAGATTCTTTATTTACTCTCCTATGGGTGCTCATATTGACCGTGCCTTTGTAAACCAACTGGTTCATGAGCTAGAGGGAGCTTCTATAAGCATTCATGAGATGATGTGTCCCCTGAGTGTCAAGGGGTGCAATTTACCCTTTCCGACACCATTTGATTCGAAACTCAAGGCTTCTTACCCTCATTGCTATGCACCTCAGTATGGATTGCATCAAGGTCGCTCATTCCCATTATTTGAGAAGCGATATGGGAAGGTGGGCTCGCAGAAGAAAAAGGATTCTCTTGGGACTAGTCGAGAGTCATGGAAGGCAGTGCACATGAGGACAACTTAGTCTACATGCCTTGACTTTAGTGAGGTGAACAAGTTTGTGGTCTCTCATTATGGTCGGGTTGGTCGTTCCACTGAAGCTTACTGGCATTGGTGGAACATCATCAACCACTCATATTAGCCAATGGATCACCCTTGAAATGGAGAGAACGTCACTTGGAGACATGACACAAAGCAAGGGAAGAACTTTGTGCCATCTGTCTTTAGATGGATTATCCCAAGGACTGAGAACAACATGGTATTCCTTGAGCTATGGCAGTGGATGAGTAATCACCCCAGGTCCTTGCTCTCAAGGATAAGATTGACACTCTCTTTGATAACCCTTCTTCGATCTTCTAGCGGAGGTAGAGCCGTACTATTTTTGGGCATGAGGAACAACCAACACAAGATTATAATGCCTTAATAGGAAGTGGACCTCATTCTGCCCGTGATGTTGGCTTCCGTTATGGTCATCCTTCAAGAGGAGACAAGGCGCCAATGAAGAAGAGGACAAAGAAGCCAGTGACCTTAGATGTTTTTGAATCAAAGGTCATTTCAGAAACTACAGTCTGTCAAAAGTGTTCAGTTGGCAAAGTCGACTCTCAATCTCGGATCGTGACTAGTCCACCTTGTCCAGTCTTTGGGTGATATTGACGGCACGATTATGTTGGTCTGTCGCTTGTACCGGAGACGGCTCATGTGGTCCCTAAGGTTGCAACCCCATCGTCAGCGATAGTGGCTACTGCTCCCCTTCCTTCTTGATGGGTCAGCTTCATCTTGAACAGTTATCAGAGGGAGAGTGGCCCCCCTCCATGTGGTAGAGACAATTTGCATGGTTGAGGTTACCAGTGGTGGTGTCATGAAGCATAACTGCCACTTTTGAAGTCGAAGTCGCGCTTACACAGTCCGTGGCTCTTTCATCTCCGGGGGAGACAAGTTTTAAATGCTCAAGAATTGAGGAGGCAAGTGACCTTGGCAACGTAATTAGGACAATCAGTGGGACTCACCCAGATACCACTGATGTAGCCGAGGAATTGGTCTTCTTGGCTTCGAACATTGAGTCTCATTTCTAGCCAGATGCACCTTAGAGTATAGATCTTGATGTCAAACCCATGGAGCCGAGTACCGCCATTGTGTCCATTCCCTCGACTGAGGTGACTTCATCCCCTGGCCCTGTCGTGATAGGCCTTCTCCCAATGTGAAGTTTACCATGGTAAGTTACTTACGACAAGCAGGTCTTCAGCAATTGAACGGGTGTTCTCTTTCTGAGCTCGGGGTGGAGATTGTCAATCTTCATGGTTGTGTGGCTGCCTTGAGTATTTACATCTTCAAGAAGGAGACTTTCACCCATTTTGAAGGCCTTTTGGATTACTTGGAGTGTTGGCGACTAAAGGATCAGAGAGACGAATCTGAAGTGAATGAGCTGAGTGGGGCTCAATTGACTTCTTTAGAAGACTCATTCGCCAACACCTTGGGCAGGTGGATTCTTGTACCCAAAAGAAGACTGTTATTATTACTTGCAAGTTGGAGTTTAGCGCATGTGGCAAAACCCACTTGGCTAAAATGAGGGCCTTGAAGGCAGAAATGCTGAAGATGAATACCCAGTACGTTGAGTTGGAGGGGGAACGAAATCAATAGCGAGCAGAAAGCCAAGTTTTGTCCGACGAACTGACTGGACTTAACATTACCATCAAGTCTGCAACCACCTTAGCAGAATAGGCCGCTACAACCATCAATGACCTTAGGGCTACTGAGCGTTCTGAGATAGTGAAGGTGGGGATCAATGAGGCCCTTGAGAGCTTCTAGGGGCGTCACCTATTCTCTTTCATTTTGCTTCTTATTACTTTTGTTGTATGAAAAACTTGGGAGCTTCTCCATCTATGAAATGAAATGTCACATTTTGTCTTTCCTTTGCTCACTTTTCCTGCTTTCATAGTTCACACACTTCTACTCTTCTTTACTATCTCTTTGAGGGCAGTGAGATGCCGGGAGCATTTCTCACGGAAGTGTTTGCCTCTCGTATCTTTGACTTAAATTCTCTCTAGGGTTTTTATTCAAGCCCTTAGGGTATTTGCAATTTCTTGTTTTCGCAAGACCCCATCAAAGTTTTTGTGGTGCTTTTGCCCATGGCTTTTACATCATGCCTGCCTTTTTCATCATTTTTACTCACGATGCCTTGCAGGTTTTCACCATGCCCTACTTTTTTTTCTTTTTTTTTGACATCTTTTACTCATGATAGCAAGTGGTGCTATCATGCCCGTCATTTTTTTTGAACTTTTTTACCCATGACGCCCTTTTGGGTTTTCGTTATGTCCGTATTTTTGGGGAGGCATTTTTAAGGTCATGCCGTCGGGACCATAGTGTTGGTGTATTTTAAGGTGATACACCAAGACCTGAGGCGTGTTTAAGGTCATGCCTCTGGGACCATAATGTCAGTGTGTTTTAAGGTCGTATGCTAAGCTCTGAGGTGTTTGAGCTCATGCCTCTGGGATCATAAAGTCAGAGTGTTTTAAGGTCGTACAACAACACCTGAGGGCATGTTTAACATCATGCCTCTGAGATTGTAATGTTAGTGTATTTTACGGTTGTACACCAAGACCTGAGGCATGTTTAAGGTCATGCCTCTGGGACCGTTGACTAGGGGTAGTATTTCTTCAAGTAGAGACCATTAATTGGAGGCATGGCCTCATCTTCATCAAAATGAGCCAATACATTAGGGAAAGCTTTCTTAACCACAAAGAGAGAATGTTTCTAACAGGTGTAAGGCTCAATTGTTCTTGCACCAACAATATTGCAAAGTATGAGGCCTTAATAGTTAGTCTTGAGAACACTTGTGAACTCCGAATTGAACAATTAGGAGTCATCTGTGATTCTCTCCTTGTAATAAATCAAACCAACAGGGATTGGAAGGTAGAGACAAAAACGCTTCAGCCCTATCAACACACAATTGAAAAGCTATCAAAATGATTCTAAACATTACTTTTTCACATGTGACTAGGGAAAACAACTGATTCGCTGATACCCTAGCGACTCTTGCATCAATGATGTATATTCTTTCCCAAATGAGTGTTCAATCATTCTATATAAGCCACAAGAGTGATCCTTCTCCTCCAAAGATACTAACAAGAATAAGAAAATCAAGAACGAAAAAGGGAAGAAGTATCCACCCTCGAATCCAACCAATTAGTCAAAGTCAAACCATAGTATCTTGATGTATCAGTCTTGCTGAAAGACAGAATGTATCCTGAAGGAGCGTCAAAGAGAGATAGGGATACCCTAAGAAGATTATCGATTAACTTCTTGATCAAAGATGACATCCTCTACAAGAAGTCTTTCGAATGAATCCTCCTACGATGTATTGACCAATCAGAGGTTGATACTATGCTCAAAGAACTACATGATGAAGGAGGACACACTGGGGTAGCACTTCTAGCTCAGAAAGTCAGAAGACAAGGATACTATTAGACTACTATGGCTGAAGATTTTTGGAAATACGAGATGAGATGCTTGAAATGTGAAGTTTATGGGGACCTCATACACGCTCCTTTTGTGTCACTCAACTCAACACCTCCAGTCTGACCATTATCCATGTGAGGCCTTGGAAATAATTGGAATGATAAAAGCAACACCCTCTAATGGATACACTAATATCAAATATTACATAAAATGGTTCAAGGCCACCTCATTCACCAACATAGAAGGACAACATGTGGTCCGGTTCATTATAAACAATGTAATCTATAGATTTGGAGTACTCAAGATAATTGTCACTGATAATGGGACCAACTTCAAGAAAAAAATGGTAAAAAGAATGTGAAAAATATTTGTCTTAGAGAAAAAATTCTCATCATCTTGTTATCTTCAAGGAAAATGGCCAAGCAGAAGCAATCAACAAAGTTATCTTGAAGACAATCAATTGGACCATAGAAAGTGGAAAGGATTGCCATAAAAAGTTACAAGCTGCACTATGATCCTATAGAACCACTGAGAAAACCACCACAAGGATGACTCCCTACATACCGGTCTATGGCATGGAGGCAATACTTCCAATTGAAGTAGAAATACCCTCTCTTAGGATACTCACTCACAATCAAACTATAAGGAACAACCAGAAGCCTGACTAGCCACTCTCGAAACCCTGAATGAGAGACAACTACAAGCAGCTGACAAATGATCTTCTATCATCATAGGATCATGCGAGTTACCCAAAGATGGTTACCACGATAATTCAGAGTAGGGGATCGAGTTTAAGAGAAAATCTTTCATTTGAATCCTCACCCATTAGGGAAAGTAAAGCCTAATTGGGAAGGACCATATTTCATAACTCAAATTCATCCAGGCAATGCCTACAAACTCAAGAACTTGCAGGACGAGAATTGAATGATCTTATCAATGCTATGTACCTTAAAAAATATTGTTCCTGAGAAGAAACAAAAGAAAAAACAATATATATATATATATATATATATATGTCTGTGTGTGTGTGTGTGTGTGTATGTATTGATCTCCTCTGCTTAGGGATTCCAAAAGAAAAGTGAGAAAATAAAAAAACAAATAAAAAGAATTTGATCTCAAAAAGAAATTAAAAAAAAAAAAGAGATCATGGTACCAAAAAATCTTAGTGACGCAAAAAGAAACCACAAAATAGAAGTTACAACCATGAATATATGGAAACCAAGAATGAAAAAGTATATATGCATACAAAAGGTTTTTCGTACATCATGAACCAAAAAGAAAGGAAAAGGAATGTACATGTGTATAACATAAAAGAAGATAAATATAACAGGAGCTGAGTCCTCATCTCTCGAGTTGGCCTAAAAGCCATTGGTTGCCTCCTGCTTGCTAGTCCTCGAGCGCACACTACGCTCACCATTGCCTCTTGAAGCTATAAGAGAGCAGGGATCTGTTGTCTTCCCAAGACTACCCTCTAGCCACAAACTGCTTGTGTCGGATCACCACTAGCGTGCTCGAGTGCCGAACTCACCAGTGGGAACTAGCAAATCATCTCAATGAACTGCCAGTTAAAAGATCTGACTGCCTCCTATACACATCCTGAAGAAAATACAAAAGAAAAAGCACTCAGAAATATGAAATAGTATGATAAACGAGGAGAAAAGATATAAAGCAAAAAGTAAAAACAGACCTACTAGCCTTGCACTCACGTGAGACTCTTACATAATATGATCACATCATGATTGCATGAGGAACAACCTAAGAAGAACCTGTACAAGAAGATTGGGTCTGAGTCTGAGAGACCTGCATCAACTCCAACTCAAGATGTGCCCGATCTCTCCTCTAATCTCTGAAGAGTGACAGTCGTAGCCTCAAGATGAGCTTGCACATCCATACTATGTGCCATAGCATAGTCCCAAGATTGTGCTATATACTCTAGTCGGCTCCTCAAATGTGCCACCTTACCATTGACCTGCTCACAGGGGATACTTGTACCTAACCTCTCCATGATCTCCTAATTGTGAGAAGAGAGATATATGATATTCCTCCCAGAAGCCCTAAATCTCTCATACACGGCCAAGGGTACTATTGCATCCTCCTCACTCAGCTCGTATTTGAGCATGTGACTGACTTTTCTATCCATGAAGCTCTTACAAATACTCTTCCTCAGAGCCCACTCGAATCACTAGGGGCATGCATCAGGGAGTACGGACCAGCTGGGTGCCCAAACTGCAACACCCACTCAAGATGATAAGTCTCCACCACATCCTTACAGATCAAGTGAGTGCTTGTGAGAAAAAATGGACGGCCTCCTCATAAACAGCAGCTCTATCCTCTACAAGAGTAACCTAGGAAATCTAATAAAGGGAAGAAATACACACAATCAAGTGATCCATGAATCTCAAAAGAATAGGAAGGAAAGATAATCAAAGGGGAATTTGACTAACCTCCTGCTTAGTCCTAGTACCAATAAACAGGGAGAAGAAAGGATATGGGTAAAGTGATTCAGTCTCCACAACTCCAAAGACCACCTATAAACATGGGGGAACCGCTTGACAAACTCACCCGGGATGGGATGAGAAATAGCGACATGCACCCAGGCCTAAACCTGGATCCAACCTATCTACAAAGATTACAGGAAATACTTACAAAACGAATTAGACAAAAAGAGCTTTCACGTACTTAAAGGAAGATCGAACATCCTCCAGCATAAGTCACATCCTTTGCAGCAATCTTACGCAGAGCCCTGAAGAGCCAAGCAAGTATGACAATTGCTCAAGCAACCTTCTCCGGGTATTCCAAATCTATAGTAGCCTAGTCCATCTTCTATTTGGCCCATCCCTTCGACCGTCAGCAAAGAGAAAGTCACAAAATATGAACATCAAAAATACCCTATGCTCCTAGACTTCCTCTAAATACATCGGACTATGCACTACCTCCATATCCACTGGGACAATGAAAAGATCGCACCTAGCTATTGAAAAAACCCACACTCACGTTGTCTCCTCATTCGAAGAGTGGTCCTCCTCCTCGCCCCCCCCAGCTTGAACACCCTCATCAACCTCCTCATCATCCTCATCATCATCACCCTATATGTCCTCAATGGAAGGAGATGGTACCCTCTGCGACCTACCTCCTTGACTAATCATCATCGCCCAATATGTCTTCAAGGGAAGGAGATGGTACCCTCTGCGACCTTCCTCCAGACTACCTATTAGAGAATGCATTCTCACCTACACTCCCCGTCCAAAATTATTCTGAAGACAGTTGAGATATATATGATCCCTCCCCTTCTTCTTGCTCTCAAGAGGGGGCGAAACTCCTAAGAGGTCCTTAATGGCCTCACGATGATCCACTCGCTCCTCTGGAGGGATACTAAAACAAAGGGCTTTCCATCTCCCCTAACTCCCATTGTCCTTACCATGTACTCAATGGTGGGACACATCTCCCCAGTTGGGACAGGAATAGAGTTTGTCTTCAATTTCCATTAAAGACAGAACTAAGTAAGAAGAGAGTGATCAATGATGAATGGTCAGATCCTACACGTCTTCCATCGACTTATCATAGCTAGGGTCTGCACCTGGACTAGAGGTAGAAGCTCAACCTATCTCCTAATAGTGTACAAGTGACATAAGGTCTCTACAATATAATTTTCAAACAAAATAAATCATCATAGGAAAAAAAAGAAAAGAAATATCACGACTATAGTTTTGGAGAAGAGCTCTAGCCAAATTCAAAAAAAATGCAGGGCTCAGTAATTTACCCAAGGCTAGATGTCCTAGGGTGAGTAACAAATGATTTCTGAAGAGAAAAGGAAATAAAATGAAGAAAAATTCACTCCCAAGATCACCATAGAGTGACATTTGTCGTAGCCCTGAAATAGGGGCAATTTGGTAATTTTTGATGATTCGCCTAAGGCGAATTGTCCTAGGGAAAATGTGTGATATCTTGATAAAATTCATCATAAAAATGAATCCTAAACTAAGTTTAAAGATCACATTATCACGTGACTGACGCTCCACCATAGAATTTTCAAATGTAAAAACATACAGGAAGCCTATTTTCCCAACATGGAAAATATATCAAACATGCTCAGAATTCTTTAAAGTGGGGAAAAACATGAATTTAGCACGGGAAATAATCATGCTACAGTCTTGGAACAGGAAAATTAGTCAACTAGAACACAAAAAGAAAATCATGAAAGTGCCCACTTGCACGACTCTACAAGTCACGATAAAAATGGCGCACTACTCAAGACAATAAAAATGAACGGTTTCATGCACCAAGATCAAACATGCATACTCAGAATATCAAAATAAATAAATTTTCCATACAGTGCATGACCAAAAGAGATGAAAACGTTCATTGAAACATGCTATCGAACACCTGGTATGCACAGTTTCATAAGCTAGTTTGTAGTCAAAAGAAGCAAATCCATACAATGGATTCCCATGTTCTAAGTTTTCTAAGCTTCATGATAATTAAAAACCTAGAGAATTTCATTAAAATAAACAAAAATGAAGGGAAATGTGACTAGGAAGCACCAGGAAACAAGAAAGTTGCATAGCTAACATGCCCCTTCGAACGGAAATGTGTCGATCCTCGGCCCACCATTGCTACTAAGATGCCATATCTAGTATGGATCTAGAGATTGAAGACTCAAGGAGACAAATCCATAGTGGAAAAGGGAGAAAATGCTGCCAAAGAACCTTTGAAGTGATGAAAGATCACAGAGTAGTAGGGGTCCTTGGATCCTGAACTCTCAAATCTATGAGAGAGAGAGAGAACCAAACTGGAGATGAGGAGGGAAAGTGATATTTTTTTTTTTTTTGAAAATTCCTGAAAAATGAAAAGAAGAAAAAGAGAAGAGGGTAAAGGTGGTGGTTCACCCCACACCCACTAAAAAAAATGGAAAAAAGAAGGAAAAATCAAGAAAATGAGGAATCAATATTCAACACTCATAAGAGAGTGAAATCAGCTCCAAATGAAGCCCTGAACAGTTAGAGAAGTCCCCCATTGTGTCTGATACACCCCAAAAAATCAAAAATTTTAAACAGCCTTCATCTAATCATGTTCAGATTCACATAACTCCAAGGTGACACCAGCCAAAGTGGCTCACCATTCAAATTTAGTTGAAAGAAGTCCAAAAAAACATGAAACTCAAACGCCCCGTAAAAGAGTCAAGACAAGAAGATGTCTAACCCGTATGATGACCAAAAGATCAAGTACCCAATCAAGTTCAATGTCAAACCCCTGTGACAAAAAATTTCGGGGTAGGTAAAAGAATGGCCATCACTATATGAAGTAAAACTGCTCAAAGGGCTCAATGGTTGCACTAGCTTAAAAGGCTAACCAACACCAAAAAATTTCAAATTTCTCACCTATCTTCAAAACTTCCCCTACAGGTCCTGTGAAGTTTTCAAAAGCCTTAATTTCTGTGGTTAAAAAGTATCCCGGAACTTCGTATCCATTTCAAAGCCTTACCAATATTCAAAATCTTCTAAAATGTTTTAAAACATGAATGAGTTTCTAGAAAGCTTGGACAGGATGTTTACGCCACCACTAGATCCCGGATACCGCGCTACAAACCCTTAAGAAAAAAAAAATCAACCCATGGGTTCCCAAGACTCAAGCTTGAACCTATGGATCCTTAGAATTAAAATTGAAGGCGAAAAATAAGTTCAATTAGCCAAGAATTCATCAATCATTTCTTCTAAATAAGATTCCTATTCAATTGGAAAAACAGACCCCAAGAAAAAGGTTTAAAGTTGGAGATGACTACACTGGCGTCCTAAGTAGCATTGGGATGACCTCAGCAAGGGGTGCCACTGACTCAAAGATAGCATAACTCCTATTAATTGCCATTGGGGTACAGTTTCAATTTTATGTCTTACAGATGAAAAGCATCCATCAGTGTAATACCAACCCAAAGGGTACTGGTTATTCAAAAGAATGACTCCTTAGAAATATTCCTTTCAATCGTGTTCCAGGTGTCTACTTATTTGTCATTCACCTGGTACTCCAGGTGAATGCTAAAGAGGGGCAACTGTAGATGCCCCCTTGAAATTATGAGTAAGGTAACTCCTAAAAGCTTGATTCTGACTCCCAAGGACCACACATATCCTAGTAGACCGTAGTACAACTAAACCAAGTTAAATTATCCCAAAACTACTAGGAACCTATCCCAGATCAAAGTAGACCCCAAGAGCTTTTCAACAGTCTAAGAATCACACAAATACGCTAAAGGCAAAGTTGGATTAGGGGGAAATGATGAAAATACCCCTACCTGTGCCACGTACTGCACTATGCGTTGGGCCAGCCTCGTACAAGGGCCGCGTGACACAACCCTCATCATGCCGCACGAGGCTTCGCGCCTCGGTAGCCTGATGGGTCAAGGCCTAGCCCAACCCTTTTTTCCATATACGTTTGAATTATTCAAAGTCAGTAAAAATCTGAAATTTGAGTTTTTTTATTCAATCTAAACCCTGGGATCGAACTGATCTGATTTCAATTTTAACCCTACTTCAATGTATAAATACCCCATAAAAAACATACCAAAATTAATATGAAAAACCCCTGCAAAAGAGGATTGAAAAATCCTTAGAAAATACATTGCATCCCTAGGAAATTTGAAATTAGGAAAATACTCAATAAATTCTAGAAAATAGAATAAAGCCTTAGAAAATTAAAAAAAAAATCGAAAAGAATAGGGAAAATTCCCCAGAAACCCTAGAAATCCAAAATTCAGATTTGACATTAGAAGATCCTAAAAACCTTAGAAAACTAAAGAAAACATTCTCCAAACCCCTAGAAAAGCCTAGGTAAACCCAATCTAAAAATCTCTAGCCTTTTCTGAAGCCTTAGGAACCCGAGATCTAAGTGAAAGAACCTTAGATGTACCAATTCCACCAAGCAAGATGCATCCAAAAGGAAATGTTGACACAAAAAAGGCGGCTTGATCCAATCCCAAAACTCTAGGTTTCGAGTTCCTAAGGTAAGTATTTCTTTTTCTCTTTAATTTTAGTGTATTTTCTTCATTAATTTAGTTTACTTTCCTGTAATTTTTTGTTATTCATTAAGTTAGTAAAATTTAGCAATATTTTTGAAGAAATATACATAGATCTTGAAGGTGGCACCTCTAGTGGACTCAAGAAAGAATCAAATATGTGTTGTTTCTGAGCCCATAATTCAATCGACCCCACTTTCTTTAATTTTTCATAAATTAACTTAGTTTTGTAAATATTTGAGTTGATCTCATCTAAGAGATCAGCACAAATTGGAGCATAAACAAAATAGATAAGGATTAACGTGGTTGAGTTGGTTAAATTATGTTTTTAAGAGATAAGGGAGAGATAGAGTTTAGTTTTCTATTTTTTGTTTTTTTATTTTTCCTTAGATTGTATTGAAAGAGAAGAGGTCCTTCTTTGTAGAGATGTTGGTGGAGAGAGAGGATATAATCTCTTGGCCATTTAATTTTATTTTTTATTTTATGTTTATTTTTATATCCCTGCATTAGGTGGCTAGGGCATTGTGTGTGATATTGGTTGTGATCAATTGGTGGTTATATGATCTCGAGTATTTTATATGATTTTTAGCCTTGTATGAGAAGCTTAAGGCTTTGAGAGGACATAAGCCTAAGTACCTGACCTTATAACCTTTTCATGGGAAGCCACTCCGTATTGATCCAGTCGTAAATGGGAAGCTACTCCTCCATGTTGATCAACCTGAAAAAGAAATGCACATGTGTCGAGAAAGGATCCGCTCATCCACCAAAGTGCATGTCCATAGTGGTGCACCAATAATCCACCACAACCTGAGAATGCTGAGCCATTTATTGGATTGAATTTGATAAGACAAGCATGAGCCCTTGCTTGAAACTCTGGATTATAGGTTTGGTGGGTCATTCTTAGAAGGTGACTTTGGATTCTCGGACTAGTCAATTGGAGTCCTCCAATGCCCAATTCATTTCCATGAGATACAAATTTCCCTCATTAAATAACATATATGATACCAAATTATATAAACATGATGAAGAATTCTTATAGGATTTTTGCGGTTTTTGAGAAATTTTTTGGAAATTTCTTGACGAAAAATTGAGCTTTAAGAAATTCTTTTTATATATAACAATGAAAGATTGTGCCCCCTATGGCCCACTTGTGAGACCCAAAATAGCCATTCGATGCCACATGAGACTGACATGGCATAGGGATGATGTCACCCCCTAATAGGAACCTACTTGCCATTTGTGAAAAAAAATTGAACTATTTTCAATTATGGAGTATTTCTCTGAAATTGAGAAATGGTTGTACATGTTTAATGTGTGGAATTGGTGGTTGCATGCACATAGAGTAATCTTCTAGAAGGGGTATAGGGTTTGAGATTATGATTGAACATGTTTAATGTAGGCCTGTATAGAATTAGGTATATAACCATCTATCCTGTGGAGCATCATATGATTTGGTGCACATGCATATAAACATGGAATTGGAGGAAATTATTAAATTCAAATTGATTCTAGAGTTCGTGCAAAATAAACCCTCTCCCTCTGCTTTCTCATTTTAATCGAGTGACTTAGCATATACAATTATGGAAACTAGTAGAATGTGAACTGAATTTGAAATTGAGATTAATGAAGAAAGTGTAAATTAGGGTTTTATGTGAGGATAACGATGTTAAATCTCATCCACTTATTAAGATAACATGATAAGTAATGGGCGGCTAGGATTAAGCCGCTCTCATTGATTGACTTTAATAACCAAGATTAATTCATCTAAAAAAATCTCTACACTAGCCTATAAATACACTGTTGGTTGCTCATTTAAGAGGGAAAATTGACTCTCCATAAGTGCCTCATTCCACCATTTAAGCTCTCCTTCTCTACATAATGCAAAGACTTTGAGAGAGACCTCTCTTTCCTCACTTTCTTATTCTGCATAGTGGTACACCTTTCATGTGGTTCTTTCCTTCTCCATATTATGAGATGATTCGTACGAGTGAGAAGGATAGGAGAAGAGTACCAGCATTTAGTAAGAGAAAGTGAGATTGAAACTTCATCTCAGACTTGGAGGTGAAACCCTCGATCCATGATGATTTAAGTTTTGGAGAATTCATCATCAAGTCATTCTTCTATGGAGCTTTTGGTGGTGGTAAATGTTCATTTACAACAATGCATTGTTGCCTCTTACCTCCACAATTCATGAGATTTTGAGTTCTATTTGATCCTTAAGTATGAGCTTTTAATTCATAATTCATGGATTCAATTTTGGAGAGATTTTGATTTAAAATTCTTGGGATTTAATTAACTAATTTCTCTCTGCAAATTTTAGATCGAAATCAGTTAATTAGTTAGCTCTATTGAAATTTAATTTTGTGAAATTTTAAGAGAAAATTGCGCCAAAATTTTTCCATGCGCACACTAATTGATTCTTAACATATGTTTTTGGTAGTTCAAAAGTCCCAACTTTTGTACCACCTAAAAAATCATATTTTTAGCATTCTTGATGGGTAGGGAGTTAGACTTTCAAACTTCCCAAATAAATTATCTTTTTGTGCTTTGAGAGTTCTTGTAGTTAAGGGTAAAGTGGGAACAAAAAAAAGTTTAAATATGGAGCATTTCACAATATTGCATTTCTTTTCTAGTCCACTTATAAATTTCTCTTAACAAAACTAATTGGCTAACTTGAAGGGGTTTAGATCAGGCAATTATTGCTTATATTGCATGGAGTTATTCACCTTAGTGACAGGCAATGTAGCATGGACAAGCGCGTTCATGGGTTGTTGCGCCATATTAACATATTAAACATAGGAAGAGACTACAAAATGCTCTTATGGGTGAAAATGAACAGTATTTTTGCCATAGGGTGGACACCTTCTGATTTTTTCGAGCGGCGTATATTAAAGACCGTCACGGACATAGCATGTATGTGGCAGTCTGTCACAGATATAGCATGTCCAAAGCAAGATATTTTTATGAAAAAGGAAGCAAAAAATATACAGGGACCGCCACAGCTCTCGTAAATCCATGGCAGTTTTTAGGCAAAACCGTCACAGACATAGCATGTCCTGACGGAGGCGAAACACTGTAGCAAATCACTTATAGGCGTTGAAACAAATATGAACACTTTTTTTATATTAATATTTTAAGAATTTTGATTTTTTTTTTTTTTAATCTCATTGAGTTCTTAGCGTGAAAGTAATTAATATAATCTAAAACTCCAACTTTCCCTTTTCTTTAAATAGTGTACGGATATGTTGCTCCTGAAAATTTAATATTAATATTATTAACATGTATCCAAATATCGACGATATACCTAGTGTTCAAAAATCCAACCGGCCTCGAAAACTGGCCAAGGGCTAGTAACGAGCGACCAATAAACCCACTGCTTAGACTGGCCTAACCAATCAAGACTGGCTGATAAAAAAAAGTGTAAAAAAAATAAAAACAAAATACAAACCAAATCTAGAAAAATATGAAAAATCTATCTAAAGCATGATTAAACAAAGCACATCCAAATGAAGTTGAAAATTAGTCAAAAAAATAGATTTTAAGAAATAGATTTTTGAAATATTCCAAAAA